TTCCCTACTTATTTTCTATAACCTTAAGGTAACAACTCTCAAAACTCTAGAGAAGGTCAGATCTGAATCCATACTTTGTATTTTTAAAGCCAATCCTCTCTTAATATAGATCCCCCCACAACAGATATTACCACACATTTAAATGAGCCACAGCACCTAACAAATCCATGGTTTCCCTCACCCCTTTAAGAATGAGAATCTTTGTCTTTGGGAGGAAGACAATCTTGCATCTCTTGCAACCCTCACTCACCAGGAAAGCTGAAAACAGTGTCAGGTACTGCCAACTCTGCTGCTTCATTTATCCAGGAAACCATGCTAGAAAGCTTTCCTTCCCAATGCTTTGTGTTTATTACATACCTAGTACCAATCAGATCTGACTGTTTGAGAAGAGGAAGGTTTTATGTCCAAATATCAATGCCCAATGTCTAATGCTGAGAACAGATTTCTCTCTCATAAGTCAAGTGCTCACCTTATATAAGGAAAATGGTTATTTGTCCAGGGACATACCTAAAAAGGACTTTTAAAAACTCTATTCTTATAATAAGTGGAAAATAAAAAGATGAAAACGTGCGGCCTCTCCCAAGGGCCAGGCATAAGGGCTAGGGACAGATACTACACATAAACCAGTTTAAGTGGTCAGAAACTGGTTTAAACAAGTAACAGAATAGACATTCAGTGCACATAAACCAGTCTGAAAATGACTGAAACTAGTTTGAGATAAACCTGGTTGAATGTAGTATCAGACTTAACTGATTTGGGTCAAACCAGTTTATGCAATGTCTGTCCCAGATCCCTTCCTGGTTTAATTTAAACCAGAGTCCCCCAGCATCCCAGATACTTTGCAATCCTGGGTGGGGCTCTCTGCTCCAGGGCAGGACTGGCCCTGCCTCTCTGCTCCCTAGCTGGAGCTCCGGCAGAGACTGCAGGCACAGCAGTATCTGCCTGGCTTCTCTGTGCCCCTCCTCCCCCCAGCACTCCCTGCTTAAGCAGGGATCCCCCCCTCCCCTGTCCCACAACATAGACCATAGCCAGCATGTGGTATGCTAGCTAATGCTGAGAGGTGTCTGTATAAAGGCAGACAGGACAGTGTCCACTTAGGACTTTTATGAGCTAATCAACAGGTAGTTGGCAATGTCCCTCCATTCCTTCCTTGGAAAAAGTTGGTTAAGAAGAGCTTAAACTAATGAGAGAGGCTCTTGTTTTCTTGGTGGAGTGCTAAATGCTCTGTTATCAACACCCTGCTGGGCTGGTCAGGAACAGGAAGGGGGGCTGGGAAAACCCCTTCCTAATCACAGCATCCTGCCAGGGCCTGGCCACACCCCTCCCCTTAGCTCAGCACTGTGCAAAGGAAAGGGGGCTTCTCTAACACCCCCCGGCTTTCAGCCTGAGTCACTGCAGGCATGTGCCTGCATTTCTTCAGTCTAGAGGGAATGCCTGTGCAATGCAAACTAGTTCAGCCTAACCAGGTTATACCAATCTGCTAAATTTAATCAATTCAGGCTCAGGCTCTTTTAATGTCTGTCCCAAGCTGAAGCACTCATTAGTAACAGAACACTTATCACCAAAGACTAAAATCTCTCCTTCTCCAAACTCTACAACATGAAAAAGAAAGAAGCCAAACTCAACAGCGACATACATTTTACTCCCCAGCCTAGCCTCTGGCTGCTTTACTTTTCATTCCATCCAGGAAGAGCACACACCAACTGCTGCAGCTTCCTTAGCCTGACGAAGGGTTTTTGAACCCGAAAGCTTGCTCAATAACTATTCTCCAACCATTTGGGTTGGTCTAATAAAAGATATCAAATTCACCCAAGGAACCTTGTCTGCCTATGTCCTTCTCCAAACATCTTCATGAAGTTACACATTGAACACTTGCCACACAT